GTCGAACAAGGGGTTGCTCGACCATATATCTGGTCGAGCAATGGGTTATTCGATTACTGGATTAGTCGTGCAATGGGTTGGTCGATCGACTGCCTAGTCGACTGTTTAAATGATCGATCCTCTTGTCTCTCGCTCTGGCCTCCTCCTAGCTTGGTCTTCTCGACCGGCTGAGCTGACCGGTTTGGCCTTGTGTATATAATATCCCATATCACTAGGAGTCTTGAAGCCGGGATGATATCAGTCAGTGGTGAGACAATAAGTTTTTCATGTTTATATAATTATTATCCTATTTGTGTTTATGCTGAATATATGCATAGTATGAATTTTACCACTGAGCCGAGAGACGGTGCTCACCCCTTTGTTTTTCAGGTTGATCGAGCTGGCGGCGGACACGAGATGACGGGTGTGGTCGTCTTTAATTATGTTTATATTTTCAGTAAACTCTGTTGAAATTTATATTCAAACTTCAACGTTGAAATTACGGATTGATTAATTGATTAATTGAAATGTGTTTATTTTGAAACATTTATTTATGTTCTGAATGTCTTGATAGAAATATAAGTTTTTTAGTAATGTCCGTTTAGTGTAAATTTGGAAATGAGATAGATTAATTGATGTCGTTAAACAAATTTTTAAGATGATTTGCGGAAAATAAACTCTATTTTTAGAAAAATATTCAGTATTTTATCTTTTATATAACGGGGCGTTACACTTTGTCGGATTCCAAAGAGAGACTTGAAGAGAGGGGGGTCTTTCGTGCCAATTTGCCAATCCTAAATTTTCATCTCAAGCAGAGTTGTCAAAACGGATGGATCATCCCACCTCAGATATTTTGGAATTTTATCGTGCTAGCCTAGTGTATGCAAAGAGAAATTTAAAAACAAAAAATATTCGCACAACGAAGTTGCAATTAACCAATAGCCCTCCCTCTCTATCTCCTCTGTGAAAAGAAAAAAGAGAAACCCTCATTCCTGAAGCCGTCCGCCTTCTTAAGAGGCCACCACGCTTTGCCGGCGGTCGGCGGTCCCTAACGGTATGAATCCCTCTCATTTTTTCCGCTCTGCCTCCCGTTGCTCTTGGATCGAGGCCTCACCGGTTGCGGATGGTCTTCGCCAATCCGGCGCCATTCCGTTAATTCACTTGAGGGGCTCCTCGATTCGTGCGTTGGTGGAGCCGTTGTGCTGTTCCGGGGAGGGATTCGACCCGATTGCTTGGCGATTTGCTCGCTGTGCGTCCGTGTGGCTTGTGTGCGTAGGGACATCACACTGGCCTCGTTTTTCGGGTGCCGTCGTTTCAACTTTTCTTCCAGTGGTGTTGGTAGGGGTGTTGCAGCGGTGGTGTGGTCGTTTTTTGTGCAGCTGGCTGGCGATTTGGGGTCGGGACTGGGGTCGTGGCACTCCTTTGTCGTTCGATTTGGGTGTTGTGGTCGTGGTGCAGGTCGCCTTCTCTGATTTTGGGGTTGAAGTTTCGAATTCGTTAGGCAACCGAGTGGTTTGGCAGTTTTGGGTCGGTGCTTCTGATTTCGGGATTCGTGGTTGGCTTGTGTCCGCTGGTTCGGTTAGGTGTTGCAGCTTAGGAAGGGCTCGATTTTTTTCTGTGTTTTTTGGTGTTTAGTTTGTGCCTTTTTGGTATGTTGTTGTTTTCTAGTTTGTGCGTTGTTTAATTGTGTTTTTGGTCTGGGCAGTTGGCTTCAGTGAACCCGAGTGTGCCTTTATTATCCTGTTGGGATCTACACTCGGGTATTACCCTGTTGGGGTTGTTATGTGTTGTATTACCCGGTTGGGGTTTTATGTGTCGTTAGTAGTTTTTTGTGTTTTTCGTTTATTACCCTTTTGGGGTCGGCTTTAGGCGGTCTTTTTACCAGTCCTTCCTCTTTTTCAGCTGTTGGCTGCTGTATCGCACAGTTGTGCTTTTTATTTTATAAAATTTCTATCGTTTCGAAAAAAAAAGTTGCAATTACAAGTATTTGATATGACCTGGATTGCGTTAGTAATAAAACAAAATTTCCCGTTGTCTGTATGTTTTATTTTCTATTGTGGTATTCAGGCAAGTACGATGCACGATCCAATGCCAGTGAGTACAATCAGACAAAAAAAAAGTTAGAATCTCATGTTAGTTTTTTGATTAATTTTATATCCCACATCAGATGTATACCAAAGATGTGTAGGATCTTATAAGTATAACAAGATCAATTGTCTATGGATTACAATTGCACCTTATTCTATTCTCTCCTATTTAGAAGGAAATCATTAATTAAGGAAATCCTAATTTGTGGGTTATTTAACCCTAGTTGTATTTGTTGGTGAGTTTAGTAAATTTGGTGTTGCGGTTGATGGTGTCCGGAGACGTAGGCTATTTTCGCCGACTCCGTCATCAATTTTTGTGTTCTTTTTATTTCTCGTATTTTGTTGGTTTATTTTCGTTTGGAGTAGTGCTTGTCATATTCGTTGAAGGAGTATTTTTGTCCGCTGGGATTGTTGTGATAACCCAACATCTCAAACCAAAAAGTCGAAAGTTTTTGTATCTCGACCATAATCTCTCAATCTCTAAGATTTGGTGATCTCCCGATGTTTTAATCTCGTGATCTCTACATAATGGTTTCATATTTTTAATTTATAAATATTATTTAGTCAGAAGTTTTAATTTATAAATATTAAATAAAATCTTTTACCCGTGAATCACACTATATTCATAATAGTTAGTAACCAGTACTTATATATTGTCATTTAGTACCGACTTATATGAACGAAAATTAATATATATTATAAATATTTGTTTACAAAAATAATACCTATACTGTAGTAGGACGCTACCAATGTTGTTGTAATTTAGTACATGTATATTGTGTGGAAGAAAAGATAAAGAAAAATAATAAAAATTAAGAAAAATTAAGAAAAATTAGTAGTATGAGAGAAATAGTAGAAGATGATAAAAAGAAAATAATAAACAAATATATAAAAAGTGAGAGAGAAAAATAATAAAAAATTAAGAAAGATTACAGTGGAAAGAGAGAGAGAAGTAATAAAATAATATTGAAAGTTAGGTTGTAGTGGGATGATATCATTAGTTAATTTATTTTTGATTTATTTAACAAGAGGGAGTTAAGTGAAAAAATATTAATGAGGTAGGGAGTGCAGTGGAATTTAATTAGCATAACGACTGAAAAAGAAGATTGAAAAGAGATTGGAGATTTTAATGGAACTTACCCTTACAATAATCTAAGGGTGTATTCGTCTCACATTTTTTGTGACATTTTGAAACTTTTTTGTTTAAAATATAATTTTAGAATAATTTTTTTCTATTGAAATCTCACCAAATTTAAAAAAGTTCTAACAAACCTCATTCTCAAACACATTAAATAACTTAAGATTTATAAGACTTTTAAAATCTCAAACGAATACACAAGAATTGTAGAAAATTTAAAAAATCTAAGTTAAATACACTAGATTTCTAAAATTTTAAAATAACTTTAAAGATCTCAAACAATCCGTGTAAGAGTTTTTTATGATAAGTTATCTTTTTATATGGGCATACGTTGTTTACACCCCATCGTATACATGCTCTTTCTTTTACACATTGTCCTGTAAAAAAACTTCTTTTTCACCTCAAAAGTCATGAAATGATATGCAATATATAATCATATATCCAAATGAACCGCATAATTAACTTTTGTTGGAGTATACTTAGAAGCTCGACTTTGTGATTACTTCCAATTTTATAGTGAATGAGATATGTGTTTTTAGGCAAATGTATATTCGTAGTTTATTTATTGCAAAAATAGTTCCTTTATTTTACACTGTAGATATTATGGTTTGATGTGTCAAACAGTAAGATGAAATTATCGGTGTCTTGTAAAATATAAAGATTTGTTCACAACCTAGATTAAATTAAACTAACTGTCGTGAAACGATGTAGTGTGATTTTGAATTAGTCGGTCTTTGACTAATGCATTATACTAGTACATTTCGGATGTATTAGACGGACCTATGGAGGATAAGATTATTTTATATTGACGAAGTAAAAAATTTTGACCGCATTAATTCTTGCGTTCTCTTAACCCGTAAGACAATAAAGACGGGAATGTGCATTCAGAATTTATTTATTTGATTTACCATGGGTGACACCTATTCTGATAGGTCGAGAGACTTTGTATTTTGGTAAATAATGTCGGTGTATAATGTGTTGTATATTGTTTACCATCACTGTGTCCCGTTCCACCGAGTTGATGACGTCCCCGAAATGAGGTCAAGAAGAGTTATTATGTGAAGTTCGGCTGACGGATTAATTTCTGACATAATGATAAAGAATTGAGTGGTACTAATTTTGAACCAAGAAGTTGATTGATTGCAGTGTC